GAGGGCAGCAGCGGGCGGGCCAGGAGAGGTCTGCCAGCCATGTGGTCACCTCCGGGGCAGGCGGGAATCAAAATCATGTGCAAGTGGTTTCAGCTTTAACCCGCTGCGCCACCAGGGAGGGCCTCATTATTATTATTATTTTCTCGCCTGGTCTGTTATACTCCTGCTATGAGTGAAACCATCCGGTATTTTTCATTTTCTTTCTGGCTTATTTCACTAAGCATGATCTTTTCCAGCTCCATCCATGTTGCTGCAAAAGACATGTGGTTTGGGCCCTCCCCGGTGGCACAGCAGGTTGAAGCACAGCACTGAGAAGCTGGGGCCACTTCCGCATGAGTTCGATCCCTGCCTGCCCCAGACGAGATCCACATGGTGTGGCAGACCTCTTCTGGCCCGCCCGCTGCTCCCCTCAGCAGTGTACTTCGACAATCTGCCTGTTACCACCATGCTCCCCGCTCTGTCTCTGGTGAATCCTGTCACCACCCCTGCACCTCTGGCCTGTTCCCCAGTTCTGTATGCACAAATAAATCTTAAAAAAAAAAAGACATGTGGTTTTTTTTGTTTTTGGTTGTTGAGTAATATTCCATTGTGTATATGTACCACATTTTTTTAATCCAGTTATCTACTTTTGGGTATTTGGACTGTTTCCATGTCTTTCCAATTTTAAGTAAGGCAGCAATAAACATGGGGGTGCAGGTATCTTTTTGAATAGGTGTTTTTGTGTCTTTTGGGTAGATAACCATATGACCATTGCTGGGTCATATGGAAGCTCCATGTTTAGCAGTTTGAGGAACCTCTAAACAGTTTTCCATAGTGGTTGTACTAGTTTGCATTCCCACCAGCAGTGCAGGAGAGTTCCTTTTTCTCCACATCCTAACCTAACGTGGACATGCATTGTCCTTGCCTACCCGGATCCCAAAAGGAATGTTTTAGTACTTTTTTACGAATGAGGAAGGTGAGATATAAAATTATTGAATGACTTGCTCATAGTCACACAGAAAGTTAGTGGTGATTCTAGAACTTGAACTCATTTGATTCACATGGTGCCCTTCTAGGATCAGATCAGCTTTAAAGACAGAAATTCTTGGATGTTCAGGAGTGATTCCTGAAAGGTCACAGTGGACAGTTAGGATGTCCTTATAGGGTTAAAATTCCCTGAGGTATCAGATATACTGGGGGGCTTAGGTAACTTTGGATGACTGGAATGCCCTGGAACTCATGTGTCTGAGGGCATTAAGCTGTCTCTCTAGGTTTAAATAACCTAGAACACAGGATGTCAATATGCTCAAAGTAAACTAGTGTTTATGCTGTCTAGGGAAAATGTTGCATCTTTTGGGGGACCTAATTCTCAATAGGTGTTCTTGTTTGGTCAGAGTAAATTCCTGCAAGCTCATTTTGTCTCGGTGTGCAGCAAGCCATATGTCTTGTAGAATTAGGACTTCCTAAATGATCAGAGTGACCTTTGGGCCCAGAAAAAGAAGGTTTAGAGTTTCCAGAGAAGCCATACAGGATCCTATGAGGTTGAAAGATTAAAAGTCACAGAATCTGGAAGACTTGAAAAATCTTATAGATGTAGTCAGTCCTGGTCAAAGTCATGTGGGTACTATGTATTCGGAGTATAGGGGAAGAGGGGCAGCGACTAGGATGCTTGTTGAGAAGTCCAGGGTTTAGAGAGTCAAAATACACAAGAAGGCTAGTGTCCTGACATCAGCTGTCCTGACTGGCCAGTGTATATCAGATGTTCTGGGGACCTTGGAGGATCAGGAGGTATTTTTACTCGGTCCAAGTGTTTCACAGCTCAATTCAAGCCTGTGTGATCAAAGATCGACTTGGTGATTTCTTGAGAGTTCAGTGATTTTTCTCGTTAGTATGTCCGTTGCAAGTTTAGGGCCAATCTGAGTTTTGAGTTTCTGACTGGACCAGAAGTGAGGGTGCTCTTGAGTGTCTGGATCCTTTCAGGCTAGGAAATTCCCAACTCTCACCTTACCATTATGGATCAGGATATCTTAGGTTTATTTTGAGCTCATGCTATCATGTTAACTATAAGGTATTGAAGTCCAACTTTCTGATGGATCCATGTCCTAGAGAATACATCCTTTGTGTCCTAGGGATTCAGAATCTGACAGGTTCAGAACGACTCTGAGGCTAGAGTCTCCCAGAGACTGTGGCAAAAATAATGATGATAAGAAATTAACATTTTTAAATGTGCTTACTGAGGTCAAGGTAAGTCCTAGATGCTTCCCTTTTATTTACTCTCAGTCATTAAAAGTTCATTGAGTAGGTTCTATCAGTTCTCATGATTTATAGATTCCATATTTGTGAATTCACCTACTTAATGATATTTGTGAAACCCCTCCCTCCATCAGTACTCTTTGACAATGTTCTTCGGTTTTTCTGGAGTTATTTATAGTCAAGTACAAAAAGATGAGAAACTTGAGTTACTGTGTGCCTAGCTAAGATCAAACTAGGGAACTGAAATGTCCTCTTGTTTCTGCTCTCATTTTGCAAACTATTTAATGCCACCGTTTTTCATTTTTTTTTTTTGCTGTTTTGTGGTACTTTCACTGTTTAAAATCTTCCCAAGCACAACTGTGAAGTGTCTTCTAGTGTTCCTCTGTACAGGAAGTTATAGTGCTGTTGGCCACGAGTTCAATGTCAGTGAACTGGCACATATTAAGCTATATGTTTATTTCTTTAAACAGAAATACTCATCCAACAAGACTTTTGATTTGACTGACAGACATGCGGGCAGAAACTCCGGGAAACCTATTTCCCTAGGCATAGTGGTTTAGTTTTCATGAATACTGTGTTGTGGTGACATATGAAACATAACTACCTCAAGTAAAGAGAACCAACTGTATTATTATTCCCAAATGATAAAGCTGAGTGACAGAAATGTTAACTAATGAGCCCAAGATCACATAACTAGCAAGTGGTACAACTGGGAGCTTCAATCCATGGGAATCTCTACTTTCCCCCACCACATGCTTTCTCCTCTTGCTGGATAAATTGATGGTGGATGTTGGGTTTCTTTGAAAGTCAAGGTTGGGGGTGATGAGATTAAATGCCTCTGAAAATACCAGGCTCCTGAGGAATTGTATATTCTGGGTTGTCAAGTCAATCTTGTAGTGTATCAATTTCGTTAGTGAACAATGATAGTGGGTCAGAATTTCTTTGTAACCTTTGAATGTCTTGCAGTATGTCCTGCCTGGCTAGTCAGAAATCTCTTGTAGGGTTAGGATATCTTGAAGCAGCAGATACGTTAGAATTTGTTTTTTACCGGAGGGTCAAAGTTGACTACATGATACTGAGCATTGGTACCTCCATTCTGGAGGTCAGTTTAGTCTAGGAGGTCACAGTATATCATGAGGTAGGTGGGGAGGGGTTGTTGTCTTGGATCAGTGCTTGTAGTCACTCAGTCTATGGTATTTTGTTAATGTAGCTTGTGGTATTTTCAGCTGTTCTGGAGATGTTATAATGTAGATTCTGATTTGGCAATACAAAAATGGGGTTCAAGATTTTGCACTTTTAATAAAATCTCAAGTGCTGTAGATGTTACTGATCCATGGGCCATGTCACAAGTATCAAGATCTTGGAGGATTGAATTTTCTGCCTTTCATCATCAGGGTGCTTTTAAAGAATGTGTGTGAAAGGTTAGCATGATCTTGGAGATCAGAATGTCCTATGAATATAATGGGTCCAAGGCAGTTAGCATGTTCTCTTTGAGGCAATGTTTGAGACTTCAGAATTTTATGGCAGGGGGCAAGGAAATCTTGTTATGAATTCAGTATGTCTGAAGGTATCCTACAGTCCTGCGTTCATTTTCTTTAAAGGGTCAGGATATCCTAGGGATGTGCGAAGGTACTTGCAGTATCTATGTAACTCAAGTAACAGAGCACTGTGGCACCCTGGGGTATCCTGACTGTGCAGAGATTCTGGGTGTGCCAAGATTTTTTAAAAAAAATCAAACTGTCATTATGTCATGGAAATCTCAGCCTTCTATAGCATCCTGAGGTCCAGGAAGCTCATGATTTACCTGAAATTCAGATATTTCTATACATCAGCACTCTCTGAATTGTAGGCAACTTTGGAATGCCATGGAGTCCCAGGGTACCTGGATGAATGAGAAAGGGACCCCTTTGGGGGAGGAAAGCACAGTCCTTGAGAACTATGATGTCTTGGAGACTCAGTCTATGAATTGGGTTCAGGTTTGCCTGTGGAGGTGTGTAGTGTATTCTAAGAAGCAAGGTATCTAGGAGGGACCAAAATGCAGTAGGAATGTTTAGTTTTCTGCAAACAGGTTCTTGGATACCACCCACATGCTGAGATACCAGGCAAGCCCTGCTCCTGGCCCCCACTTGTAGTCACTCTCCACCCCCACTCTGGCTCCACAGTGGGGTTCCAAGGAGGGGTCTTAGGAGGAATACATTTTCTCTTCTTTCCCCAGGAGGGGATTTAACAGGACAAAAGAATTTGGTCCTCTGGGAATATGAGCTCTTGGCACCAGCCCCTGGACCCTCTGAAAGAGTACCTTCCCTCATCCAGCTTGTGATCCTCCCCTGATGAAGAGGGCTCTGGCGATTGGATGGGCTCACAGAGACAAGGAGGAGGTCACTCCCCCAAGGCTCAGAGAGAAAGAGGTTGTGTGGGATTGCATACTGGGAAAGTAGGTAGCTGAGAGAGAAGGGAGAGAACATCTCAGAGATAAGGGACAAATAGAAGAAAGTAGGGACAGAAACAGAAATGATGTGAGGGCAAGATAGTCAGAATGAGATTACACATGAACTAAGGATGGAAAATTAGGAAAATGTAGTAGGGGGTGGAGAGACTAAAAAACAAAGATCTATGAATAGCTATATTGATGTAAAGAATAAGACTCAGGGATTAATATAAATAAAGGGGAAGAAGCAATATAGCAAACTAGAGGAGAACTACATCAGTAGTGAAGAATTGATCTCAGCTCACAGATAAACCTGGTTGTTTGGGTGTTTGTTTTAGCCATGCAAGCAGAAAGGAGGAATGAACAAGGTAAGCAAAAAAAGGGACGAGTTTGCAGTACCCTTCGGCCAGAGAGCTATTCATCTGCTGGGACTTTGATCTCCATGGTGGGTGAGTTAATTGTGGGCTTGTCCTGCAGAAGCTGCAGATGATGTTGGGGAGGGGGACTTCCAGTTTAGGCTAGAAGGTTATACAGAGTAATAAAAAATAGAATCATATAATGTTAAAACTGTGGGCAGCTTAGAAGCACAGGGAAGTCCAACTCCTCTGCTTTCAGATGTAGGACAGAGGTCCTGGTATTGGAGGGCTGCTGGACAACACACTGTAGGGTGGGTGTTGCTTAAACTGTCTCCTCATGCCTGACCGCAGTGCCCACTCCAATGTCTTATCTCGGGGAAGGATCTAGAAGGCCAGGACTTTATTTCAGGAAAGCAGGGACCAGTGGCTCAAGGCCTTTGTGTCCCTAAGGTGTACAAAGAGTGCTGGGTGGGAGCCTCACCCCTAAATCCCCATGGGAAAGGACATCATAGCTCCAAACATCTCTGTTTTCAATGTGCGACTTCCAGGTGTTTACTTTTGCTCCTTATCCTCCTTTCCCCAGCTCTCAGACTAATTAGTGTTGTGGTTTAGTGAGCCTGTGGGGAGGAGAGACAAGCTTTTCCCACGAGCTCAGGTTCCTGCAGCATGGTGGCAGGGCCAGGGCCTGGATAGAGGAGATGAATTGTGTGTGAGGGGTGATATGTCATCAGTAGAGGGGGGAAGCTTCATCTTCCCAGGTGAGGAGTGGGTAGGATGGGAGCAATATGAGAAGTTAAAGTTGAATATGAATCCTAGCAAAGGGAAAAATTGTCAGGGTCTTAGAGACCCAGGCAGCTTGTTAAGGTGTCAGAGGAAATAGATTTGCAGGGCAAGGCTGAGCAGAATGTGTACACTGAGAGGCCTAAAGCACATTCAATGGCACACATCACATAGGAATGCATCTGAGTGAGTGTTAAAAGAGTGGGGAGTCAATGAAGAATGAGGCAGACAGCAGGATCACTCTGAAGAGAAACAAGTTTGAGGGGTGTACCCCTGTGGTGAGTACAGCCTGTGTTAGAGGACTCAGAAGAAGCAGGAGCTTAGGCTGAACTGGATCCAGCAACTGGGTTCAGCTTGTTATGTAACTAAAGGATTTCTGTTTGGGACAGAGTGTATGAGTAGCATTGGGGTCCAGCTTATGTGGTGGGTACACTCAGCTGCAATGTCTCCTTACCCTTCCTTCTTTAGACATGAGTGCTTGGCCCCACCGAAGCCTTTCTGGTGTAGGAGTGGGGAGACCAAGACTTTCCCCACAGGGAGTTCACCCACATTCCCGGCGCCGCCATCGCACCACCTTCAGTCCAGGACAGTTGGAACAGCTGGAGTCAGCCTTTGGGAGGAACCAGTACCCTGACATTTGGGCTCGAGAGGCCCTTGCTCGGGACACAGGCCTCAGTGAGGCCAGAATCCAGGTGACACCCTTTATTCCCGAAGAAGTGGTTCAATGCTCAGGGACTATGGGGAAACAAATTTTCAAATATAGCTCTAAGTCTCACCAGAAGAAGCCTCATCAAACAACCAATGTAACTCAGGAGTTTCCCTTGAGTTTAACTCTAACTCAAACCTAACCTAACTTGAATTTCAACACCAATCCCCAACCTTAAAACTGGTCTGAATTCCAACAACAATTCAGTCTTATCTGTACACATACCTGGTCTATAGCTATGACCTTGAAAGTCAACCAACCTCATGTTCTCTCAATCCTAACGATGGACTTAATTAATCTGAAGTATAAACCCCATCCTAGGTCCAACTTTATCTTAAACTCATTCACAATCTTAATCTTGTATAACTCTAGGGGAAATTTTCCATACTCTGAGGATAGTATAAGTCATTTTGTCATATCTCTTGTTGAACATTGACAATTCTTGCTCACACAAAGTCACAGTCTGGCACATTTAGATGCAGTTGTGAGTAATGGTGTGGTCTTGCTTTGTCAATAGGCCTGTCCTAATCATGTCTTGTGGAAGAGTTTTACTTCCTTTGTTAGGAAAGTCTATACCTTGTGCTTTTACTTTCTGTCATTAGGGGAGAGGAGCTACCCGTGACATTGCCATCTGAGAGAGGCTCTGATTTGGCTATTCTTCCTCCTCCTCAGGTCTGGTTCCAGAACCGCAGAGCTAAGCAGAGGAAGCAAGAGAGATCACTACTTCAGCCGCTGGCCCATCTGTCTTCTGCCACCTTCTCTAGCTTCTTGTCTGAGGACCCTACTTGCCCCTATTCCTACCCAACACAACCCTCAACCTGCTTTCCTCAACCTTACAACCATGCTTTACCCTCTCAGCCCTCCACAATTAGTTCCTTTGTTCAATCTCACCAGTCTGAAGATTGGTACTCCACCTTGCACTCAAATCCTGCTGGTCATCTTCCCTGCCCTCCACCTCCACCCATGCTTCCCCTCACCCTTGAGCCACAAAAGTCCTGGGACTAAGGTCAAACAAGTACTAATAAGGTAATTCCCAAAACTGTGGTGCTTTTGAAATAGAGAAAACTATGTGATTTCCTTTACTTCCAAGATAAATTAGAAATATGTTGAGCAACAGCTCAGAGATTTGAATTTTGGAAATGTGAGATCATAACGGAGCATCACTGAAGTGATTCATTGAGAGAATTTAGCAAGGTGAACTACTGGGCTGCTAGATAGAAAGCACCAAAATAGATGATTTGTAGGAGAGTGATGGAAGTGATTAATTGCTGACACCAGCTATGCAACTTCTGTCACCAGAGAAGATTCAGATGGAGGGGAAATGCTCTCAAAAATCAGAATTTCTATGCTAACTTATGTTATGACCTCTCTTTTTTGTATAATCATATCAAAATATTCTGAGCAACCTTCAGCTTACAACTGGGTTGCCTTAGCTTCATAAGATGCTGCCTGGCCCAGGCAAGCAAGCGCTGCCCAGGGCAAGAAATTCCTCTTGAAGTCAAATAATTTTACTATTGGAAGATTAATAAAAGCAACTGGCCGTTATAGCAAAATAAATATTATAATATGAGGCAGTACTAGAACATGTTCTTTTACTGCCCAGAACACACATCTCATCACTCTACTATCTCACATAAACTTTCTATTCAGTTTCTAAAGAACTACTTAAGCCTTCTATTGTTTAGTCTTTAAATAGGTAACTTCACCCAAGTCTTCTATTCAGTTTTTAAGGGACTATGTAAGCTTTTTAAGGATCTTTACTGTATCTCTATTTGTGATTTTAATGCTTGCTTTTAATGTATAAACAAACTTCTGCTGAGACCAGAGCAGGAAGACTTGCACCCAACTCCGATTCCCCTGTCTTCCGTGTGCCTGCTCCCCTTTTTCTCTTTTTAGAAATCTCCTTTCACATGCCGCTCCCACCTAAAGGCCCTGCCCTCTGACAGCCCGGGTTCAGTCCCTGACACATTGTTGCTGGTGAATAGAAATGATTGAAGGAGATAGACCTTTAGATTTAGATTATGATTAATGAACTTCACCCCAGCTGTCTCTAGCTGATTTTAATAAGAAGACTTTGATTTAAAGTATACTCATTACCCATTCCCATCATACAAGTCAGTCAATAAATTTTGTTCATTATGTTAAATGAATAATCTTTTGAAGCTGAACTATCTATTGAATGTAGTCCTCTCTTCTCCATTCCAGCAGACACTGCTTTTTCTGGTTCCATATTTCCTAACTAATCTTAACTGTGTCCCTTCGCCCAAGCCTTTCCCACTTCCAACAGCCCCTGCAAATATGATCAACTGCCTTAAAAAAGAAATAAGATCTGATTAGTTTGGCTTATGAGAGTCTTCAACACTATCTTTGATCTGACTTTAACGTCAAATTATGTTTGTTTTAATATGTGTGGGTTTTGATAGAGAATAAATAATTTGATTTTGGCAAACTATGAGTTGTGTGGCTCATAAGAGGTTATATCCAGGGAAGAACCTGCTGTGAAGCATTATCTCAGCTGGAACAAGGTGTGGTTAAGTTTGTAGCGCTATTTCTATGCTGCAATGCTTATAATGTACTTATTTTACTCAATAAAAATATTTATGTATTGTCCTGTGCTGGGAGTGAACAGAGTTACTGACAAGAACTGAATTAGGGAGGTAATGAATTGAGCCTTGCATCCAAGCTTGATAAGGTGGTAATAAACTGACCTGCCTCTAGGATGGGACTAGCTGAAGGTGATAACAAACTGGGCCTCACATCAAGGACACAGCCATGACTTACCTCTTTGAAATCTGAGCTTAGGACCTATATAGGAGACACTTCCCCCTTAGTGAGTTGGCAGTAGCTGCGGAGCCCACTTGGGGTTCCATTTCAGCTGCTGTCTGGGAGCAATAAACTTTGCTTGCTCAGCCTTTCTGACTCCCATCTTTCTTTCTTGTGGCCGGTCACAGAAGTTGGGACAAAACAAATTGGTGCCAAAACCCGGGATGGCTGAGTAGAGCCGTCCTCTGAACATTTTCTGTGACCTGGCATGCTTTTCTCCTTTCCTTCTTCTCTCTGGAATGTGCATGTGGATGTGTGAGTAAATAAACAGCTCTTACACCGGTCCTAGCGTACCAGCTCAGGCTTGATTGGGACTGTATCCTTGAGACCTGTTAGGGTCCGAAACTCGATTACCGCGAAAGACAGAGCGTCATGCAAGAATACAATTCACAAAGTAGAGTTTATTGGGCTGGCTAGCCAGGGTCAAGCTGTTCCCTGCCGGACACTCAGGATTCAGGCAAGACCCCGACCAAAGGAAAGTCAGGGAATATATTGGCCTTGTTGGCCGTTACATACGTCAGAGCCCGGGCAGATTCAATTTAGCAAATGGATTCAAAGATTAACAGAAGTCACAGCCTGGGTCACAGTTCAACCACCCAATGACAGGTTGCCAGGAATAGATGTCTCATTTCCTGGTGCCTCAGATCCAATCAGCTGGGCCACACCATTCCCATTATCCAATCAATTTTAAATGTACATCGTCTCTCTTCAACCTATCCTGCATTCCAGGGGGTGGGGTGGGGTTTGGGTGCTTGCCTGGGCTAGCCTAGTTTTGCTCAGGCCTGCGTTACTTCCTCCATTCCTTCACCGTAAGGCTTAGTGGAAACTTGGCCAGTAGCTCTAGGCTTGGCCAACTAGGCGCGGATCTTATACGCGTGTTCCTATGCCAAGGGTCTCTTTAGATTCCACGAGGAGTCAGGCGGGAACAGTTAATTTGAATGTACCCTGATCCCCAAGGCCTCCTGGCTTCCCTCTTTGCCACAATATTTCTGTTGATCTTGGAATTTTGCTCCTTTTGGCATCAACTCTGTTGTGCCAAAAATACCACGTGGTTACATCGCAGGAACGAGGTTAGGGTAAGTAACCCTGATTCTGGCTCAAGAACACCCTTGACTCTTTTTTCCCCTCATTTCTCTCAGTGTGGTCCCTCCTAGGGTGCACTCGTCCCTCCCAGGGCATTTTTGGTCCCTTCCAGGGCATTTTTGGTTTGTATTTGTCCCTCCCACGGCATATTTTGATGTATTTGTCCTTCCTAGGGCACACTTGGCTCTTAAGGCATTTTTTTTTTCTCTTCTCTTCCTTTCTCTCCCTCCACATGGGACCCAAACTGGGAATCCCAAAGAGATAGTCCAGGTAGACTTAGGAAAAACATATTCTTTGCCTGTCTAATAACAGGCCTTAACGCCACAGCTCAAAAAACTGTGAATTATGACAAACTCAAGGAAATTTCTTAGGAGCTGATGAAAACTCAGTGGCCTTCCTAGGTCGCCTTATCCACTGCCTACAAAAATATACCTGCCTTGATCCCAAACAACTAGCAGGCCAAACCATATTAGCATCCCACTTTATCACACAATCTTACAAGATATCAGGAGAAAAATTATCAAGGCAGAAATGGGACATCAAACCCCCATCAAAGAGTTACTAGACACAGCGTACAAGGCTTTAAATACCTGGGATGAGTCAAGGGCTCAGCAGCAGGTTGCTCTAGTGATGGCTGTGGTCAGGGCCTCTCAGGGCCACAGAAAATTTCACAGAGGTGCGTGCTTTAGATGTGATTAGCCACTGGGCTAATCATTGCCCCACAGATTTATCCACCCTCCCCAGGAGCCCTGTCCTCAGTGTGGCCAACTGCGACATTGGAAAATTCAGTGTCCCAAACATGCCCTACTTATAGAAAACTCTAAGGTGACCCTGGTGTGTGGCAGGGTTTTGAGAAAAAGGAGGGAAGTGTAGAGACTTTTGCCACGGTCAAGTAAGCCTCAGCCACAGTATGCCGTCACCTCTTAAACATTTCTTCCTCCATTTGGCCTCCCAAGATCTTTACAATCAGATAATGGGTCTGCCTTTATCTCTAATTGCTGTGTCCGCACGGCAGGGATACGAGTCTGAGCAGGGGACGTTGAGGTTGAAGAAGCAGCTCACGTAGATGGTTGCAGCAAAAAACGTCTTTTTTTTTCTCTCCAGCCTCCCTTTTATACCCTGCCTCACTGCAATCAGGGCAGATATTAATCAGCTGCTGGGGGCCACAGGAAGTCTCCCTCACATGCCTCACTGCAATCAGGGCAGATATTGATCAGCCGCCCACAGGTTGGTCAACTCACATAGGTGGCAGAATGTTTTCTTCCTATTATGATCTGTGCTTAAGCTCCAGGGGTGGTTGGGGAGGCTCATCCCGGCTGGGACCCAACAATTCCCCCCTTTTTATTTTATGCCCTTACCCCCCTGTCTTAGGTCACCGCTGACCCAATGCCTTTACCCGTCTTTGGGTAACCTCCAACCCTTGTAGGCGCGTGGCGAGCATACGGTGTTGCCCGTCATAGGGAGAATCAGGAGTCTTTTAACATTTATAGCCACACCTGATGAGTCCCATGGATGCCATCGATCATCCCATGCAAAACTTGCTGGGTAATGGCATGTCTCCTATGGGACTGTCGTGTGAGACGGCAAAGAAGCCACATTCAGGCTACAAGTCCTAAAAGCAGTAGCAGTGCGAGGGAGAGTGTTCCTGCCCACCTCTGGACCCATCCTGTAAATTGAGACATAGCCTTCCACCAAGCAGAGGCAAAAACGGCAGGGACACGGATGTTGTTAACACTGGCAAAAGGAGGAGTTCCAAGGACCCTGTAAATATGCATTTAACAATGTGATGGTACGGGAAGCATTCCCCAAAAGCAGTTTGAGTTATAGCTAGGCCAGCAGCCATGGCCGCCGTGGAGGCCACAGCAACGGCAGCCACGATGGCAGTGGTTAATCCAAAGTCTCGTCGCTGGCGAGAGTTATTTGCACTGGCAGTGGTATTATGGCAGGAATCCTGATGACAAGAGCGCCGTCAGAACCGTCCCAGCAGTTGCTCAACTTGCAGATCCTGGAAGAACAACTGAGATATCCCTGTCCTCCCCAAAGCCGTAAGAGGAAATATTCCAAACCACGTAAAAGAAAGGTGAAAGAATGCAAGTGGAGGAGTTGATAGAAAGGTTAATCCTGAAAAGCCTCAGATAGGCCCTTGCAAAACCTTAGATAATTGTTCACCAGCTGCTTTATTAGGCAGGGCTTTCCATGCTTTAGTAGCCGCTGCCGCTATTTGGAGATAAACCGCAGGATCATAAATGATTTGATTAGCCAATTCACCATAGGGCCCAGTGCCTGTCAACATGTCCAAGCTGTGCTGTCCTTGTCCTGCCTGAGCACCCCGTCCTGCTGCCCAAATGCAACCCTCCCGGATACTCCCCTCTCCACAGCAAACAATACCCCCCAGACAAAACCACTCGAAACAGCTGTTGCCAGTCACTCGGGGTAAGGTTTAGTGCAGCAAACAACTCAACAATAGCAATAGTGAAGGGAGCCTGAGCGCCATAAGCTGATACAGCCTCCTTTAATTGTTTCATATCTTTAAAACTCAATGCCTGGTATTGGCGATTTAAAGAAAAGGTGGATACAGGAAAGCTATAGGGACCCTCCTTATGTAATCGTTTCTGTAGGTCCCTTTTTACTTGTCCCCAATCTGAAATATTTAAGCCTCCTCCCATTAAGAACCACGGACTCGCTGCAACCACTGTTCTAAGGAAGGCTTCTATGGTACGCTGCTTAACTGCAATTCCCTGTTGCTCTAAAAGCTTTGAAACTTAAGACATTTATTCCTCTTTACTGTTTGTGGATCCCATTTTTACCCCAATATGTCCTTACCGGTCTAGGATGACAATTCCTTGTTGCACTAAAAACTTTGAAACTTAATACATTAATTCCTCTTTACTGGTTGTGGATCCCATTTTTACCCCAATATGTCCTTACCGGTCCAGGACGACAATTCCTTGTTGCTCTTAATACATTAATTCCTCTTTACTGTTTGTGGATCCCATTTTTTACCCCAATACGTCCTTACCGGTCCAGGACGACCTTGTCCGTTGCTCCCCCTTACACAGATCTCGGTGGGACCTCCACTTGCCGCACCCGCACGGCAGGGATACAAGTCTGAGCAGGGGACGTCGAGGTTGAAGAAGCAGCTCACGTAGATGGTTACAGCAAAAAACGTCTTTTTTTTTTCTCCCCAGCCTCCCTTTTATACCCTGCCTCACTGCAATCAGGGCAGATATTAATCAGCTGCTGGGGGCTAGAGGAAGTCTCCTTCACATGCCTCATTGCAATCAGGGCAGATATTGATCAGCCGCCCACAGGTTGGTCAACTCACATAGGTGGCAGAATGTTTTCTTCCTATTATGATCTGTGCTTAAGCTCCGGGGGTGGTTGGGGAGGCTCATCTCGGGACGCAACATCTAATATCACTCAACAAATGACTAAGGACTTAAGCATAGTATGGAGACTACATGTCCCTTATAGACCTCAGTCCTCTGGCAAAGTAGAACACATAAATGGGGTTTTAAAGAAACAACTTACTAGCCTGGCCCTGGAACTTCATACAGATTGGGTATGCAACCTTCCAGTGGCACTAATGAGGATCTGTACAGCCGCATGGCCCTGTACCCCCTTTGAATTAATGTATGGGAGACCATTCCTGCAATCTTCCTTTCCAATGAAACTGGACCCCTTGCCTCGATGCTTCCTCTCCCACAGCTCTGGCACAGATTGCTTAGAGAACATGCTGATCAGTACACTCCACAGACAACACAAGGCGGGGGCAGGGGAGGTAGTACATGTCAAATCACTACACCCGGAACCACTTAAACCACAAAGGACTGGGTCAGATGTAGTGGTCCTATTCACACCATCAGCTGTCACGGTGGCAGGAAGATCAGAATGGATTCATAACTCTTGAGTTTCTCCTACAGGGCCACCTCACACATGGTCAGTCATGTCCACCAGACGTGCAATGCTTCGTTTCTCCCGACATGTATCATCTCTGGATGCAGCTCCCATGATTAACTGGACTGGTACCCAACACCTCCCATTAGGCTGGACTACACTGGACTATCTTTGCTCCCCCATAGTAAAAACAGACCCATCCTGTAAAGATAGCTCAGGGCAGGTGGAACAAAATGTGCAAAGCTATGTGAGTTTGCCAAGAACATTAAAAAATCCAGCACCAGAAGTGACGCTTTCTGGGGATGGCTAAAACAACCTTTCCCACCATAGCTAGTACCTTTACTAGGCCCCTTGACATCAGTCATAGCTTTCATTATTATAGGCCCATTATTGGTCCGGTTCTTTTTTTATTTTACAAAAGTTTATTTTTACATCATTTTGTACATTTTTTTTTCCTTCTCAATTGTAATCCACACGGGTTTCCCATCACCAA